TATGATTATTTACACCATGAAGAGAGCTTTTTTGTGTTTTCCGCTTCTCTGTCCCTCCAGCCGCCACTTGCGAGCATGTGCCTTTTCCCCGCTGCACTTCCCCCCCGCCCCCTCTTGTTCCCCTCCCCCTCCCTCCTCCCGGCGTGGGGGGCGGCGGACGGGGGTGGGGGCCCGGCTGCCCCCCCCCACCCCCCCCCCCTCCTATCATGTTTTTTTTCCCCACTCCCCCCCCCCCCCCCCCCCCCCCCCCCCCCCGGCCTCTCCCCTACCCCCCACCCCCCCCCCCTCCCCCCCCCCCCTCCCTCCCGCAACAAATTTAGAGACGCCATTGATACGCATCGACTGCCCTCCCGCCGTGATATCCTTTTATACCCAACCCGCGCACCCGCCGCCACCCCCCTCCCTCCTCCCGCCCCCCCTCTTTTCCCTACATATATATATATATATATATATATATATATATATATATATATATAGAGAGAGAGAGAGAGAGAGAGAGAGAGAGAGAGAGAGAGATGAGCACATTTTTTTTGCTTTTTTTGCGCGGTGAGAAAACTTTGACATGAATCAACACGAGCACAACTTCACCCCCCCCCCTTTCCCCCCTAAAAATACCACTAAGAAAGAAATATGATAAAAAATAAAATAAAGAAAAGGAAAGAAAAGAAAATGAAATAAAATGAAAATGAAATAAAATGAAATAAAGGTGCCAATGATTCGTGTTCGCTGTCAATCTCTTTTGATTTCTGTGTTCCCCTGGAAAATCTGAAGTCTGATCTCCACGGCTGCCATTTCTAAAGATAGACACCACCTCGTCTATACTGTCAAAGCTTTCTTCAAGTCCAGAAAAGAGATTCATTTCAAATGTTTGCCTCATCACCCCTGTTTTATTTTCTGGAGAGTTGTCTCTTTGTTTGTAGACATCTCCTTCTAACTTATTAGACGTAGATTTCAGTCATAAGTCACGTTGAAATGTCTACACCCACCACTGGTTGTGAAGCTACTGGAGCAGGGAACACGGCCCACTTGTGGGTCACAGGCTCTGGATGGATACTTTTCAGTACGCTAATTATACTAACTAATTGTGACGTCGGTGGCCTAGTGGTTAGGCTCTCGGACTCGCAACCGTAAGGTCGTGGGTTCAAATCCCGTCAGGGGCCCCGACGTTGTGTCCCTGGGAAAGGAACTTTACACGAATTTTCCTCACTTCACCCAGGTGGGAATGGGTACCCGGCTATAGACAGCTAAAGATTTTGTCAGTTTGTTAGTGTTTGAGCGCTTAATCGGCTGCTTGCACTGTATGCTTCCCGGGAAGCTGAGAATGTTTCGGAGTGTTCTATGGTCTGCTGGGGTAATAATATAGTGTAAAGCGCATAGAGCTTGCTGTTGAGCGGGGAATGCGCTATACAAATGCTATTTATTATTATTAACTTACCTGCGCCTGGGGTGTAGCGGTTAGCCGCTTCGCGTTGTTGCGCGCAGGAGACTCAAGTTCGATTCCTGAGTGGGGATAATTTTTTAGAAATCGAGAATTTCTGTCCTCTGCTGGTTGGCCCGAAAGGCAGGGTTGGAAGCCTGCCTCCTACACGGTCTAGAAGTGTGTCGGTGGAGGCGTAAAGACGCCTACATTTAAAAAAAAGATTTACTGCCTCCCGAGAGCTGTACTCATGTGACCAGTAGACATGCACCATCTAAGCATCTACGTCAAGACGACCAAGTCTTAAACTCAGCATGAGGTAAGAGTCAAAAATCTGAGTCTAGACTTAAGTCAAAAGGAAGGAAACCAAGACGTTCAAGGATTAATCTCAACTTCTTTTCTTCACCAACGTAGCTTCTAGTTTTATTTTCGGGGCTCTAAAGGGCTGCATACTGGGTTTGCAGTGTGGTCACTTAGCCTGCTGTCTAGACCTATGTACTCGCGTATGGTCTACAATCAGGTTCACTGCCAATTTGATTTCTCCAGGCGTGCAAAGGATGTTTTGGAAATTTTAGGTAAACGTTCGACGTCAACAGAAAAACTGTGATGTTGAATGCTCTGGTAACAGCAGAAACACTAGGAGCATGCCGATGGCTAGATGTATCTAACGTTGAGTTAAACAGTATTAAACTTACCTGCCATCTTTCTTGGGAGAAACCGATTAAATGATACTGCGGTTTTTTATACACAAAAACCCAAGCAAGGTAAAAATGCCAATTTTCTATATTTTTAATGTTGGTGCTGTGAACACAGATTCAAACTCCAAAATGTCATTTTTATGGCATGACCTACTTTTTTAGATTATTTAGAATTACTCATGTGAAAAGAAAAGCTTCAAGGCTCAAACATGAGATTATATATACTTAATCAAAATATAGTGCTATCTTTTTATGATTGCCAGAATATTATAATTGGTGTTCTATTGTTGCCTCTTCCTTGAGGTTACTTTAAAAATGGCCATTCCGAAGGCATAACCTTGCAATGGTTGCCGACATGTCCTTCAAATGATAACATGTTCAAAGGTACGTCTCTCTGCTGCTGTATGTAGTTACCGACAAACAGACGGGTTGGTCAAACCTGTTTAGCTCAGAGCGTTAGAAATAAATTGAGTTGACTGTTGTTGTTGTTTTTTTGGTG